GTAGATTGTGAATGCATCGAATGCTGTGGCCAATCATATCGTATATTATAATGAGGATTTTGACTCGCAACAAATTAAGGAAGAATCGGAGCCCATACAAATCGATTTGGACTTAAACCAAATCGAGGAAGAATTAATGCCTATACAAGCTGACTTGGTTGCACCGACAAGAAGAAATTTGGGTACAAAAAAAATCTCGAAACCGGGGCGTAAGCCGGGTGTAAAGCACAACCGACAAGAACAACAATCTCTGATAACTGCTCAAATTAAAAATAGTGCAAGAATAACGTCTCGTAAAGGCAAAGAAAGGGTGACCGATAATACACCGGTAGTTAGGTCATTTGGAGAACATGCATCAGTATCAACAAATATTTCATTAAACGGTAATGTTGGATCTTCGAGCCATGCGTCTAGAGCACCAATAATGCCTATGAAAACATTAGCGGAAACCATATTCAAATTCTACCGATCCTTAAAGCCACCATCGCCAGGATTAACAAGAGAACAAATGTTGCGACTTGGGACATATATTTTTGATGAACTTTTGTCAAGGGAATTTTAAAGAGTCAGGGTCTTTAAAAGTATGTTTTGCACTAGATTTTTCTACTACTTTCGAGCTTTTTTTTCGATTCACTTTCTTCTTTAGCAACATATCTAAATCATTTTGTAAAGACTCTTCTGTTTGTGATACTATAAAATCGGGTTGCTTTCCATCGGTTTGTGATAAAGGAGGAGTCAACATTGACAAAGAATTATCATTAGATGAATCGTCCTTTTTTGGTTGCATTACCAACTCAGATTCAGTTTGATCAGAAACAGAAAAACTCGAAGATGACGTATCATCAGAAGCTGTCAAGGTTCCACTAGATGTAAAAACTTGTTCTTCAACAGAAAGGAATACCTGTATATTATCACCATTAGTTTTATCATCACCTCCATGGGAAGTATCATCTGCATTAGGCTTTTTCGAAACAGATGTTTTTGGGAATTTTAAAATATTTAACTCTTTTCGGATATTAGGCTTTTTTACTATTTTTGAAACACTTTTCTGACCAGACTTTCTTTTAGAAGGTGTAACAATATCGGATTGTTTAGATTGAATAGAACCAGTAACATTTAATGATCTTACTTCCAGGCCTTCGGCTGGTTTCCAGGGGGAGGGTATATCATCATTTGGTGAATATGAACGCCAATCGTCACCTTGAACTAAATTTAGATTTGACGGTTGTTGAAATTGCATGGTTTTGACCTGTTGCCACGGAGAAGAACCATTAACATTTTGCGGATGTGATTGCCAATCCTTATTTTGAAATGGTACGATCATATCTGATAATGGAGGACCAGAGATATTAGGTGGTGGTTGTAATTCCCAGTTTTTTACAGGTTGCCAATGAGAAGACCTATTAACATTTTGTGAATGCGGCCTCCAATCGTTATTTTGATGAGTAGATAAATCCGATTGAATAGAACTGGAGACATTAGATGATCTCAATTCCCAATTTTCAGCCTGTCCCCAAGGAGATGACCTATCCTCACTTTTCCAATCTTTACTCTTAGATGAAGAGACGAGATCTGATTTGTTAGATTGATTATTAGCAGGGACATTAGATGGACGTAATTCCCAATTATCAACTGGCCACGGAGAAGCCTTATCATCATTTTGCGAACGTGGACGCCAATCATTATTTTGAATGTTTAAATATCTAGAAGGACGATGAAGCCATGTAGATTGTGAATGCATCGAATGCTGTGGCCAATCATATCGTATATTATAATGAGGATTTTGACTCGACCAAGACGGTCGAGGATCCGTTTGCTTCATTAACTCAGTAGGACCAGAGCTATACCAAGCGATATCAGACTGAGATCGTTGATCAGCGGTCATAACGACATGGGTAGGTAACGTTGAATAAGGTAGTTGAATCTCCATATGTGAAAGGGGAGGTTGTTCTGACAGTGTTGAATAAGGAGGAGGTCGTTCTGTACCCATGTGTGAGTGTACAGGTTGCTCTTGTTTATTTTGTGTTCTCCTCGAAGAGTTTTTTTGAATAGGATCTTGCCTGCGAGCTTGTCGTTTCTCAACTTTCTGGTTTTGCTGTAAAGGAGGCATCATGAACGGTAAAGCTTTATGAGTACGTGTTAAACTTTGTTAAAGTGGTTTAACGACAACAGCGAATATCTTGTACGAAGGTAACGTTTATCGTAAATTTAAAAGCTAACAAATTATCCGGACTAGTGTAAAAAATGAGCCGGATAATTCCGGTAACAAAACTTGTCAGATGACGATAATTAGAACGTCGGAACCGCAGCATAAAATTCGAACACAAGCTATAATATCGCACTCTTCATGTGAATTAGTTAAAATGAACCAAAAGTTATGAAAAAAACGGTTGAAACGAACAAATTTTACAGTATAAATTCAAAAATGAAATGAGAAATATTATTGAACTTTATATAAAGTTCTAGAACTTTTTGTCAGAATTAATAATTTCAACGATAAACAACATGAAGGTTTGAGTTACCGTTGTATTCGCTTTTTTTTTTCTTTTTTTTTTTTTTACATATATATAAAAATACTTACAACACTGGCCAAACCCTTACATTTCTCATTACGCAACATTGATAAGAAATGTTTGGTATCATTATATTCATGAAAAACAGGCAAATATTATCTACGGCTATCAACACTGTCATGAAATTTATTGATGGTGACTATTATGCATGCATTTAGTACAAGACCATAGAAGAATGGACATCAAAGAGTGCCAAGATTTTCATAATGAGTTGAATGAAGAAGTTAAAGAGGTTATTGTATTATAGCGATAGGAGAGGATGTGTTGTTAAAAAATGTTTAAGATTTACGATTCACGTGATTTAAACTGTCCCATTGCATTTGTGATACGACTAGCGAAACTTTCATGTTGAACAGGGTTTGATTTTCAAAATAATCTGAATATGTTTTTTGTGTTGTTTAATATTATTCGAAAACTTATCAATGAGAGAGCGGCATAGATAGACCATATTAAATGGTTAATTAATCTCATGGAAGCGATCGATCATTTTCTTGACATTTAATTAATGACGATCTAAAGATATCAATCGTCCCTATTTTAAATGATACCGTGTAATTGTCGTCTCTTTCAGAGTTTTCACCTATTCCATCCATCCAAAAACGTTAACTAGTGTGATAGTCTTATCCCTCGCGCAGCATCAATCATTCAATCATTTATTATTATTTTTTATCCATATTATTCGGTTGGTCACGGACGCGAAAAAACGCGTCCAACCGTTAGTTCTTAACCATAAATTCGAATAAAAAAATTAGCATTATCCCGGCATCTTTAAAATGCTGCTTGTAAAAAATACTAAATCCGGTTAGATGAACTCCTGAGGATCCGCAGATATGTTAAATCCCGAAAAAGGAAATTCGGCGTTCTCTCTAATTTCCGGCCATAGATTGACCAAAAAAAAAAATTTTTTTTATTAATGAAATATATATTCATATATAATAAAGAATTGGAACTTATCCTAGGATCATTTCGAGAGTATCATTTACAAAAACTCCTATTAGTGTGTGCTTAACTTACGACCAGAATCAAGAGTTTGAAGATCAATCGGCCTGCATTATATTTACATTAATGCGGGACAGCTGGCCCCGATTTCCGACCCAATGATTCGATTGGCAGTAACGATAAATGAGGCATTGAACGTTTGTTGTCTACATCAACGTAACTCTGACTTCGTTTTTTGAAATCAAGAAAAACTTCAAATAAGACGTGTGTAGAATCTTTTTTCTCTGTTTATAATATTTGAAAGTTCTGATAATTATCGTTTTTTTTAAGAGTCCTTTTTTTTCTTATTTTTTATTTTTTTTTATTTATTTATTTTTTTTTTTGTCTATTCATTTGTTTTTTCCTGAATTTCTTTGCTCCCGTTATCAAAATATTGTTTGGCCAGTGTTGTAAGTATTTTT